CTCCTTATTCTTTAAAAAATGTTGCATTTAGAAAACAAGCATGAAAGGGGGAAATCGTCTATCCTTGACAAGTTAGCTTTCGGGGGGGGGGGCTGGAATTCTTTCCTTTCTTAGAGGCACATTCCGTGGACCGATTTGAGCCTGCCTCCTCAGCCCTTCTGGTGTGATGTGGGCTGCAGCCGGGTCTTGGAGGTGTGCCTGAAAGTGAGGCGAAGTGCCCTCCCCAGTTAACCACTGCGGGTGTGGTGACGTGGGCCCCTCCGGAAATCCAGGCCCTGGAACGAGGGCCCTTTGCTCTCCCTTTGCTGTCAGGGTGAAAGCCAAGGCAGTCTGTCGATATGGCCCTCCCAAGGGTATTGCTTTGCCCGCCATGAGAAAAGCTAGGCATCTTGCATTCCTTCTGCCTCGGGAGGGTGGCTGGGGCTCTCCAGTCCAGGGCCGGCAAGCAGCCTTGCCCTTCCGTCCTTGACCACGAGGTCATGCAGGACTACAGCCCCCTGCTTCCCTCATTCTGCCCGAGGGACAGTTCGTGGGGCTGTGCCCCTTCACACGCATCCCCTGGCTCCCTCGTAGCACTCGGCGTGGATGCTGATGGGGCAGCGCTGCAGGTCCTGGAATATGGGGCAGGCCCACTTCTTGTTTCTCAGGCGGAAGGAAGCCTCGCATGGCATCCCCCTCAGGCCATAAAGGTGGGCAGGAAGGAATGCACCGTTTCAACAAGGGGCGAGCCGCTTGCCCCGTTTTCTGTCCCACTGGGAAAAAATCCCAAGCGACCTCCACCCGTGGCTTGAAAAGCAAAGCAAAACAGAAACAGTGAAATGTAGCTTCATTTTAACTCTCCTCCTCCTTTTTTTCTTTTTCGTTTTTTTTTGGGGGGGGCAGCTTCTGGAGTACGAGCCCCGATCCGGGAAGCAGGTCCCCTTGCTGCTGAAGATGAGGAGGAGCCAGCTGGCGCTCAGCAAAGCCATTGAGAGCGGAGACACCGATTTGGGTAAGGGGGAGACCGGCGCAGGGGCGCGGCTGGGGCTGGCAGAGGGGTAGGGAGGGGGGCGCTGGAGGGGGGCGCTCTTCTGTCTCACCAAGGGGTTTATCTATTCATTTCTTTATTTAAAATACTTCTGCCTCACTTTATTCCTTAAAACAGATCCAAGGTGACTGAACATCATGGAAAACACAGTATTGAAAACTGAAAAGGATTCAAATATTTTTAAAAAACATGAAATTCATATTAATTTCACTTCCACAATTTTAGGTGGAAGCATTATTAAAGCAGATTAAAACAACAGAATACTAATCCTCCTGATTTTAAAGCCCCGTTTAGGCAGCCGGTCCCTTAGCTTGCATTTTCCAGGGTGTATTTCCACTTCGCCCTGAGCGGGAAAGGCCGCGCATGGCTGACCCTCTCTGACGTCTGCCCTTCCTTCCTCCTCCTCCTGTCCAGTGTACACGGTCATCTTGCACCTGAAGAACGAGCTCAACCGTGGGGCCTTCTTCATGACCTTGCAGAACCAGCCAGTTGCTTTGAGCCTTTATCGCCAGGTGAGAATTTGGCCCTCGCAGTGCCGTTAACCCCCCCCCTTTGCCTGGGTGTCTGCAGGCGTGCCATATTTGCCTGCGGCCAGTCGCTCAGGGAAAGCCTGCCTGAAGAGAAAGGTATTTTTGCCTGCTTGGGGAAGGACAGCAAAGACAGGGCCAGCCTGGCCTCCAGTGGCAGGGAGGTCCAAAGGCTAAAGGCCCTCTCCTGTGTCCCCCACCAAATACAACTCTGAGGGTGGTGGGACTGAGAGAAAGGCCTCCCCTGATGATCTTAACATCTTGGCAGGCTCATAAAAGGAGACTCTTGGCAGAACTACAGTTTGGTTTGTTTGGTTTTTTTTAAAAGAAAAATGGAATCCTGGTTTTTAAAAGACAGAAAAATTAAGTATCAATAGAGATTATGACAAGCGGCTGGTCATCCCAGCAACTGATCTGGAGCCCTCATATATTAAAGCAGAGTTGGCTTCCTTCCTGCTCAGCTTCCTTAAACCCTTTGAATGATTTCTCGCTGAGTTTTCTCCTGCCAGCGTTGAGAGAGAAAGAGAGAAGCTCCTTTTTCTTTAGCCTGGCCCTCTCCTAACGCTTGGCTCGGCCTTCCTTAGTTCTGCAAGCATCAAGAGCTGGAGACCCTGAAGGACCTCTACAACCAAGACGATGACCACCAGGAGCTTGGCAACTTCCACGTCCGTTCCAGTTACGTCAACGAGAAGGTGGGTGTGCTCGGAGCCCGGCCGGGAAGAGAGGGGGGCCAGCAGGTGGGCCTGCCAGCAAAGCCGGTCAGTCTCAGTCTTAAGAGCGAGGGGAGACCCATCAGGGTTGTGTTTCTCCCAGGCTTGCATTGCATTGAAGCTCAGAAAGGAACAACAACTCAACAAACTAATACATTTTTTTTGTTTTGATTTTGAAAACGCCCCCTGTGCAACACATCCACCAAGTTTCTAGTCCTTAGGGCTTCCTGTGAAAAGCAGGACAGTTTGGGCTTGGCGTCTCAGAAACTAGGCAGGCGAGAAAGACGACCCATAGGAACAGCCTGGTATTTCCAAGGGTGAGATTGAGCAGGTGGGATGTTCTGTCTTCTTCAGCGGATCGAAGGGCGAGTGTCCAGCCTACAGAATGCCGTGGACGAATATTACAAGGCCAAGAACGAGTTTGCGGCCAAGGTGAGTGGAAGAAGCACCTCTTCTTTTCTGTGATGCGCCCCTGAGATTTCTGCCCAAATCGACCTGTGAGGGAGAAATGTTGGCCTGCTGAGCGGTCCTTCTCAGGCAAGAGTCCTGGGGAAACCCCATGGAGGGTGTGGGAGAGAGAGAGAGAGAGAGAGACTCTTCCTTGGAAGGAGATCAGGAACGGAGGTCACGACATGCACGCAAGATCGCTTGGCCTCCACCTTGGAGTAACTCTTCCCCTGCAACGTGCCGGATGTGAGGCAGTGCAGGTCTGTTTTGGGGTCCACTCTAAACTCCTGTGGGACGACAGGGAAACTGCGTACGCGGTCCGTGTCGGGAGAGACGCTAAAGAGAACATGGGAGTGACTCAGGGGTTGAGGTCTCTGGTTGCAGGGCGAGAGGTTGGAAGTTCAATTCCCCCACACACACACTCCGGGGCCCCCATGACACAAGGCTGGACACAAGGATCCATAAGGTCCCTTCCAGCTCTGCCATTGAAAGCGGATGATAATGATGATGATGACAGTTCATTCGCTAGTTTTTGCCCAACCGTTCCACCGTCGGAATGGCCACAGATGGAAGAGAGCCATTAATCCAGACGTTTTGGAAAGCAGCAGCCAGAATCTCATGATGCCCACGATGGCTGTGAGATGCTTGCCATCATCCTCAACAGAATGTTTCCAATCTCTGGAAGTCTCAATTGTTAAGGCGCCGACTGGTTCCGGACTGGGGTGGGTGAAGGAGTCTCAGTCTTGAGGGACAAGGCTATGAGGTGGTCATAAAGAAAGAGGAAAAGAAAACTCTCCTTGAAATATTTTTGTCCGCCCTTTTCAGGAAGGAGCGCAGAAACAGACGGACAGGTTTCTTCACTAGGGTTTCTCAAGAACATTTCTTTCTGCTTCTATTTCATGCCCAAGTAACTTTTTCACCCGTCTCGGTGTTTACTGGATGGGATTTTCTTTCTTAAAAAGCAGTTGGATGGTGGTTATGGAGGGGTAGGGAGGCCTGAGAGTTTGTCAAAAGTTGGGAGTGAGATGCCGAAAAGCTTTGACCCCAGTGTTAAAAGGGGGCCAGACGCTTTCAGGTTGGACTGGGAGGGTCTGTCCCCCCCCCGAGAGCCATGTGGCATGACCGGGGAAGGTGCTGGATTTGGTGGACTGGAGCTGGTGTCCTGGCAACTGATCCTTGTGTGATTATGGCCAGTGTTTCTTAGGGCTTGGGTTACCGTTTCTGCCTCGCCCCTGTCGTGGTTTCCTTCTGGGGAAGGGAAGAAGGGAGCGCTCGGTTCCTACCACCCCAGCAGCGCTTCAGTGGCCAAGAGGGGTGGCCTATAATCAGGCTGAACCTCCGGATGTTCTCGGTATACAACCTTGGGTCCTGGGTCCAGAGGACTTCGTGCCAGGCCTGCCTTGTCTGGCGGGATCCCTCTCGACTTCGTAAACCTGCACAAGGCATTGTTCCGAGTTAAGAGACCTTTGTGCTCTTTGGGGGACCAGATTTTGAATGAAACCAGAACGAACTTGTGGCCCTTTCTGATCCGGATAAAGAGAAGGGATTGGGATTCTCCCCCCCTCCCACCAGAACCACTGTGGTGGGTCTCTCTCCCGGCATGGCTTTGTTCTGCCTTTCTCAGCAGAGACCCTCCCAGCTCAGCCCCAGGGCCTGGGGGCCCCTCTTCTGCTGCACTTTTCTTGACACCCTCCTGTCCTCCACGTGAGCAACAGAGCTTGGAACGGTTGCTCTTTTTTGGGACTACAGCTCCCAGGATTCTCCAACCCACACAGCCAGCCTGGTGGCGAGGAAGTCATGGCTCCAAGCTGCAACTTGCAAACATCCAGGATGGGCCAAAAGATGGGCGGAAGGTCCCTTCTCCTCTCCTCCCGCCCCCACCCAAAATAAAGGGCCCTCTCTCCGCTCGGGGCCACCGGGTCCCCGCCTGCATTTTCCTCCCTCTTTTTTTCCTTGCCAGGCCACGGAAGACCAGATCAAGCTGCTCCGGATCCAGCGCCGCCTGCAGGACGACGTGGACAAGCCCTACCTGGACTGCTGCCTCCACGACACCGTCTACAACCTCATCCTGGACGGCAACCACAAGCGAGCGGAGCAGCTGTACCGGGACTTCAAAATCCCCGACAAGCGGTGAGAAGGGAGCGCCGGGCAGGCCAGCGGGTTCCCTGCCCCGGCCTGGTAGACAGGACCCAGCCGAAAGGGCAGGGCGCCCTATAGGACACCCCCCGAGTGCCCACGGGCATACACGGCTGCCCTGGGGTGTGAGGGTGTGGATGTGCAGTTTGCCGGTCCGCGGGGGTGCAGGCGGTCCTTGGGTTCTGCCTGGATTCGAAGGCATCTTCTCCAGGGAGAGCCTTAAAAGCCGAAGTTTGATCACGGCAGGGAAGAAACCAAGCCACCTGCATGATGAAAAGCAGGTTTCTTGGTCTTAAAGGGTGCCTGGGAGGGCAGAAGCAGGGAGCACCCCCCCCCAATATGTCATGGTGGGGTTCCTTCTGAGCATCTCATGGCATTCCCAAAGGGGCTCAGTGTGCCCGGGCTGGGTGAAGGCCTTGCCCAGTGGCTCCAGGAGACCGTCTCGAACCCAGGCACAGAAGCAGAAGCAAAGGTGGCGTGGGAGGGTCTCCCCCCCCCCCCCGCAGAGGCTCCCACGTCTCGGTCCGGCAGGTCCCGCTCTGTGACGCTGCTCCTTTCCTGCCTGGACAGGTTCTGGTGGCTCAAGATCAATGCCCTGGCGGAGCAAGGAGACTGGGAAGAGATGGAGAAGTTTTCCAAGTCCAAAAAGCCACCCATTGGATACTTGGTGAGAGGGGAGGGGGGCAGCCCCGTTCTGTTTTATTCCTCTTCCATTGCAAACATGCTCTGTTTCTCTTTTTCTTTTTCTCTCTCTCCCTCTCTCTTTTGCAAAGACCATAGGCATGTGTTTAGATCTGTCTCTCTCTTTCTCATACCTAACTCTCCAAGCTGATCCCATACAGAGGTAAGAGGTATTAAAGAAAATAATAATACAGTGGTGCCTTGCTAGACAGTTACCCCGCATGACAGGTTTTTCGCTAGACATTGACTTTTTGCGATCGCTATAGCAATTCGCAAAACAGGGATTCCTATGGGGGATTTTCGCTAGACAACGATTTTGACAGCTTCCTCCGTGCTCGCAAAACGGGTGTTTTCGGGACCTAAGCTTCACAAGACAGCGATTTAAACAGCTGATCCGCGGTTGGCAAAGCAGCTTTCCTATGGCCGATCTTCGCTAGACAATGATGATTCTTCCCCATTGGAACGCATTAAACAGCTTTCAATGCATTCCAATGGGGAAATGCTTTTCGCTAGACAATGATTTTGCTAAACAGCGATTTCAGTGGAACGGATTATCATCGTCTAGCGAGGCACCACTGTAATTAAAAAATCAGCAGTAACAGAACGGATCTCTCCCGAGACACCTATCAGGCCAAACCTGGATCAAAATTTGATGTCAGTAGCCTTTCAGTCTGTCTTAGCTCATACTTAAGTCCTTAAAATTATGACAGAAATTGTATAAATTGTTGTTTAGTCGTTAAGTCGTGTCTGACTCTTCGTGACCCCATGGACCAGAGCATGCCAGGCCCTCCTGTCTTCCACTGCCTCCCGGAGTTGGGTCAAATTCACGTTGGTCACTTCGATGACACTGTCCAACCATCTCATCCTCTGTCATCCCCTTCTCCTCTTGCCCTCTCGCTTTCTCAGCATCAGAGTCTTTCCCAGGGAGTCTTCTCTTCTCACGAGGTGGCCAAAGTATTGGAGCCTCAGCTTCAGGATCTGTCCTTCCAGTGAGCACTCGGGGTTGATTTCCTTCAAAATGGTATAAATACCCCTTCAGATTTCTAGAATTAAGGGCTTAAATTGAGGATCTGAGGCACCCACTGGCTTATGTGATAGGATTGCCCAATGGTTAGTTCATTTTTTAGGGTTTCCTAAGTCAAAAGCTCTGATACTTTGAAAAAGGCTGTAGTAAAAGATCCCAAACTATGAGGGTGGGGACTCTGATTTATACACGGACTCTGTTGGATTCCATCATCCATCAGCTCCTTGTGGCTAAGGTTGGAAAAACAGTCATGAGTACTCACACTCTGTATGTTATTAAAAGATCTGGTTTACAACCATTATGGAAAAACTGTCTTACATTTCTTAATGGTCAAGGAAAAAGTCAAGCTGGATAGATCTTTTTTTCTTTTATTTAAGATGGAATCCAGTTTTATAATAGGTGGATGATTAAAATGAAGACTGTTCCAGAAAATTATAGAGTGGAGTGGTAGCATTAATTGTATTAGAATAAAGGAATAATCAGTTTATATGTTCAGGTTATGTTCTGGACTTCATTGGTAAGACAGTAGGAGGATGCAAGTCAGAACTGAGTTCCAATTGAGTATTTATAATAATTATAATAATCCTTGAACTGCAGAGGGCTCTCTGATCATCCAGTCCAGCCCCTGTCAAGGATGCACCAACGGAGAATCGAACTCCCAACCTTCACAGCCAGAGACCTAAACCACTGAGCTACCCAGTGGTTTAGTTGCATTGTCACCCACCACATCTTGGGTGGCTCCAAGAGGCTTGCTTCCATGGCTGCCCTTGTGAAGATCTCTCTGTGTGCTGTTCTTCTCTCTTGCAGCCCTTTGTGGAGATCTGCATGAAGCACCACAACCGCCACGAGGCCAAGAAGTTTGCCTCCCGCGTTGCCCCCGAGCAGAGGGTGAAAGCTTTCCTCCTGGTGGGGTACGTTCTCACGCCGGCTGCTTTGCCCTGTTCTGTGGGGTTGGGTTGGCTCTCGCAGGAGCTGGCTTTCACTAATCTATGGAAAGCCAGTGGTTCTGGTTGCTGCTCTTGGGTGTTGCTTTATTTTTATTCTTCTTCCTTCCGGTCCTCCCGTTTTGCCAACAGGGACATGAGCCAAGCCGCGGACGCTGCCATCGAACGCAAGAACGAGGGCGAGATGAATCTGGTCCTCTCCAAATGCACCGAACCCACGCTGGCTGCCAAGATCAACCAGGCCAAGGCTCAGCTTGGGAAGAAGTGAGCCGCCTGCACCGCTCTCTCTCTCTCTGTGCTCCTGCCTGCAGGGTGCCCGGGGGTGGCCGCTGAATCCCAGGTTCTGAGGAAAGCCCGTCGGTCCAGCGGAGAAGTGCTGCGAAGGTGGTGGTCTGCGCCGGAAGGAGGAGCGCCCCCGTCTCTTTTTTGGCTGTGCTGGAATTAACTTTGTCTCCTCAGGACTGCTTCCCCTCCCCTTCGTTTGGATCCCTTGTTTGTGGGTTTGCACTGACTATGGGAGGGCAGCTATCCCAAATGAAAGAGGAGTCACCCATTCTCTCTGTGGCTCCTTCCTTCCTTCCTTTGAACGCTAGCCATGCTACATACTGTGTTTCCCCGAAAATAAGACAGGGTCTATTAATTTTTGCTCCAAAAAAACGCATTAGGGCTTATTTTCAGGGGATGTTTTAATTTTTTTTCCATGCACAACCATCTACATTTATTCAAATACAGTCCTGTCCTCTTCTTCTGGTTGCTGCACAAGGGTGGCTGGCGGGGTTTCACTTAACTGGGGCTTATTTTTTTGGGTAGGGCTTCTATGACGAGCATCCTGAAAAAACCATACTAGGGCTTATTTTCAGGTGAGATCTTATTTTCAGGGAAACAGGGTCATTTATAGCAGCGTGATGCCCCTTGACCAGCCATTTTATTCTTTCGAATCCTGGGCTTTTTATTTTAGTGAGAGTTCGTGAAATTCGCTGCCAGCAAGCTCTGGCGCCCTTCCCTGGTAGAAGCCATGGGCCAGGAAGTCTCCGTGCCTGCCACCGATCCTTGGATCCCAGGATTCACAAGATGGAGCCAGGGAGAATAGAAGTGGGATCAGACCGACAGAAGCGACGCTGTGCAGACGAACCTCTGGCTGCGGCTTCTCTCTTCCTCATGGATGACCCATGAGACGCCCCTTGGCTCTGTGCTGCATCCCCTCTCCGCCGTCCCCCGGTGCATCGACAGTATTCAGTCTTCTTCTCTTACCCTTTCTGTAGGGTGTGTCAATATCCTCTCCACAATTTCTCTTTGGCCTCGCCCGTCCCCACCCTGTAACCACTAGCAGGGTGGCTTTTCTGGTGTGTGTGTGTGTGTTTGTCTCTCCACTGGGGGAAGGCAGTTGAACCGTGGTAGGTGTGGCCGAAGGGATGCTCAGGCAGGGGACGTGGGTTGAGGGGGAAGAAATGGGCTGTCCTCAGTTATAAAAGCTGGATGGGTCAGAGGTGTCACCTACATCTTGAGTCGGACCCCCCTGGCTTTTGGGGTCTGTTTGTCTCTCCTACCTGTCACTTGCCTGTGTAGTTTTTTAAAATGGAAAGTCTTTTGTGAGAGGCAGTTTAAAAACCGCTCTCCTCCTTGCGAACATCATCAGAGTCCTCTTTTTTTGATATTTTGGTCCCTTTTCTTGTCTTGCGTAGTAAGGACTGTCGTTGTTTCATATGGTTCCTTGCTTAGAACATGGCCAACCCCACTTTCTCTCCAAGTAGTTCGGGGGGGGGGTTCTGTTGCTCTCCTCACCACGTTTATCGCACAACAACCCTGTTGGGTAGGTCAGCCTCAGAGAGAAAGAGAGAGAGAGAGTGCGCACTGGCTCCCAACTCCCAAGATCTCCTCAAGACTCAGGACCAACTTGCCCACCCAAGGTAGCCGTGGTGGTGGTGGTGGGTAACAATTCCCATGACCAGCTCCCAACTCCCAAGATCTCCTCAAGACTCAGGACCAACTTGCCCACCCAAGGTAGCCGTGGTGGTGGTGGTGGGTAACAATTCCCATGAGAACTTGCCCGCCCAAGGTAGCCGTGGTGGTGGTGGGTAACAATTCCCATGAGCCAGCACTGCAAGGGGTGATGGACTATGGGCGTTTTCAGGCCAAAACCATCTGAAGGGTTTTGTCGTTGCCCACCCACCCCTGCTCTAACCACCATACTGTGCAGCCCAGAGGGTTTCATAGCAGGAAAACTGGGATGCGGGGAGAACTCGAGACCTGCCCAAGGTAGCCGTGGTGGTGGTGGGTAACAATTCCCATGAGCCAGCACTGCAAGGGGTGATGGACTATGGGCGTTTTCAGGCCAAAACCATCTGAAGGGTTTTGTCGTTGCCCACCCACCCCTGCTCTAACCACCATACTGTGCAGCCCAGAGGGTTTCATAGCAGGAAAACTGGGATGCGGGGAGAACTCGAGACCTAAGATTCCTCGAGGGTGGTTCCTCTGCCTTTTTCTGCAGTCAAATAAAATGAATATTCCTCCTGTTGTGCTTTTTTCTTTCCCAAAGGGTAACCAGTATGCTCTAAAGCATGGGAAGATCCCCTGTTTTATACAGGGCGGTTCAGGAGTCGGGCCAAAAGCTGATTTGGGATGTGTCACGATGATGGTGGTGGAGGCGGAACAAGGAGTTGTATGAAGGGGGTGTCCCGCACCCTGTTTGGTGCAGCAACTCGGACTTTACTCTTGGTCCAGAACAGAGGCATGGAAATTAAAAAAGAATAATCTGTTTTTCATTGCAGAGGCCCTCTCTTTCTCTTTTCCAACATTTTCTTCCCCTTCTGGTGCTGCAGGCATAGAAAATCCCGCAAGCTGCTTCTTGTCTGCCTTGACTGGCCGGGGCTCTTAGGCAGAGAACTGTGTGTTCTATCCCTTGCCGTCTTTTTAATGTTAAAGGATCTCTTTTTTTAAATCCCTGAGCCTTGAGAGTCACTGATCTTTCACAGGCACCCCTACACCATTCAACTCCAGGTGCGTGTACCCACCCACCCCGTTTGACGATTTGCAAATCTTGGCAAGGAAGGATTTCTCGTCCAGTTTGGGAGGGCTGCCACACTGAACCGTGGCCACCCTCCCCCTGAAGAGGAATGTGCCCCATGAGTCTACGAGTTCACTTCATGCCCACCTGTGCATGCCATGGGCCCAAATTCTATGGGTGGCTTCCTGCACAGAATAAACCCTTACATTCCCAGTCAACATGGGAGGGGGGGGAGGAACCTCAATCTTCTAGACGTGGCAAAGAAATCAAGAGACAGGAACTGAAATGAAGCTTTCTGAGTCTGCAGAATTCCTCATCAAGCATGCTGGTACAAAATGGGGGGAACATTTTTTTTTAATTGGGCCTGGGACATTGACATGTATGCATGTCTTTTTAACGGCATGGTGTAGCGTGGAATCGCAGTGCAAAGGTGTGCAAAAGTCTCATTTAAGAGCAGCTGGGAGGCACAGTTAGTGCTGTAAAAACAAGGGAGAATCGTGTGGCGCCTGAAGCTAAGACTGGCAAGTCTTAGCTGGCATCGGCTTCCATCCTTTGTGTCCCGACTTTTTCAGAGGTGTACAGTTCCCAAGACACAGTTCTATACTGTGCAAAGCAGGGTTGATGGTGTTTCCCTTCACGTACATCCTACCAGCCTGTCAGGTGGGAGGGCCACACAGGTCATCTTTTAGGGTGGACAGTTTGAAAGGTGATCAGGTACGGTGGTACAGTAACTCTCCTTTAGAAAAAGGACGATGCCTTTTTGAACGGCTGGGTTTGGTCCAAGCCTGATTTAAAAAGAGAAAGAACCACAAGAAGGCAGGAGACCAAAGTTGAACAGGCATAGTGTTTGTTCCACTTAGCTGTTGGAACAGTTACGACAATGGAACCAGTGACAACGCTGGAGGAAATTAAGGGAAAACTGGACAGCTCTCTGCCAGATGGGCTTTGATTTGGATCCCTGCTTTGAGCAGGGGGGTTGGACTAGATGGCCTTTGAGGCCTCTTCTCTCTCCATCATGCTATCATTCATCTAGTGCGGTGGTCCCCAGCCTTGGGCCTCCAGATGTTCTTGGACTTCAACTCCCAGAAATCGTGGCCAGCAGAGGTAATGGTGAAGGCTTCTGGGAGTTGTAGTCCAAGAATATCTGGAACCCCAATGTTGGGGACCACGGATCTAGTGCATGGCATACCCATCATCCCCAATCCGCGGGAAGATGCACAGGCCAGCCTATTCAAGCCAAAGGGGTGTAGAAATTTCCACCGTCCAGCTGCTCCGTCACGACAGCCCCCGCAACCGTCTCCCCGGGCTAGGAAAAGTTGCAAATAGGCAGACCCCTTGGATCAGTCAATATCAATGGTGGGGGGGGCAGGCGTTTTGCAAAGCCCAGCGTTCTCGGGTGCCCGTTCCGGACCCGGCCACTCCCAAGGGGGCCGCCGCGCAGTCCGTTCCGCCGGTGCGAGGGTGGCGTCCCCCGCTCGTCGGGCGC